AGTGTACACCGCAGCACTGAAAGCGGGCCACGACTCTCCGGCGAACACCCCACCGGCGTCTTTCAGGGAGAAGATGGCCAGGGCACGCCGCCCAACCCTAACGGGACATTCAACATGCCTGATTTGTGGATCCCAAGGGGAAAGTACCCTCCTGCACCTGCCTGGCCAAGCTTCCTCCTCGAGCCCACCGGGTTTCTCTGTGCTGACACTGCCTGTAGCAGGGAGAGGTACGGCGTGGACCCAAAGAGGGGAGGTCATAGTACCTACCACGACTGTCCCAACCACCTTCCTGGAAATGGAGATGGAGGCTACTGCTAGGGCAATGCAGAGGTCACTTGACCTGGGTGAAGGGGGAAGCAGCAAAGAGAAGGCGACATGCCTTTTCGAAATGGGCCGAAGTCTCTCTCTTGCAAGCCCATTTTATGCTCTTGAGGAAACCCATACTCCTAATCCAGTGAACTTCACAACAGACCCGACACAAAGCCCACAGGAACAGAGCTACACTCCAATCCAAGAGAAGGAAAGAGTCACAGGAGAGGAGGAGACCAGGCCCAGACCGGAAAAGAAGAGGAAACCGGAGGACTTTACCAGCCCAAGCAACCCAATCCCGCAGATGGAGACCTCGACTAACATCTCTTTTGATTCCTTGACTTTTGTTCCAGGTGAAAATAGGAAGACTTACCAGAGGAGAAGAAACATTATAAGGAGGAGGAGCATTGCAGAACTAACAACAGAAGGAAACCAGTCCGGGGAAGGCGAGTCGATCTCTCCGAGGGCAGCGGCGGCAAGCCTGAAGCCGCCAAACCAGGAATGAGGATCCTCAGCTGGAAATGTAGGGGATTTGGCCAATCCCTTACAAGGAACTACTGTGGTAGGCTCTGCCGCCAGTTTGGCCCTTCTTTGCTTTTTCTGATGGAAACCAGGAAGGAAGACCGCTTTCATGGAGGAAAAAAGAAGAGCGATTAAGTTTGATCATTCCAAATATGTCAGCCCTGCAGTAGAAGGTAGTGGACTGACTCTGTGGTGGAAAGAGGACGTGGAGGTCCGAGTTTTAGATGTTTGTAAATCGTTTATGGATGTTAGCATATGTAAGGAAGGAGTTGAATTCTACTGTACTTTTGTTCATGCCCCCACCACGGCGGTGGAGAGGAGGAACCTCTGGGATCGACTTACGATCATTAGGGACTCTCTGGAAGATAGTTGGTTGGTCGTAGGGGACCTGAATGTTGCCCTGCAACCTTTTGAAAAACAGGGGAGATGCCCCCTGAGGAATGAAAATGTTGATCCTTTCAAGTACTTCATCTCGCAGAATGCCCTGATCGATCTAGGCTTCACAGGCCAGATCTTCACTTGGACCAACAACCAGCAGGGACCCGACTTGATTAGAGAAAGGCTCGACAGGGGCCTTTGCTCAGCCTCATGGAGACTCAATTTCGGAGGGGCCACTGTGTTCCACGAAGATTTTGTGGAATCTGATCATTGTCCGATCAGAATTGATCTGCATCCGAAGAAACAGGACAGAAATACACCTTTCCGTTTTGATAAAAGATGGAAGGAAAATGGGGAATGTAGCCAGATCATTGACAATAATTGGAACAATGGGGGAAAAATATATGAGATTCTCAACAATTGCAGGGATGATCTTCGACGGTGGTCAATTAAGGACAGAGCAAATAAAATAAGGAGGGAAAAAGAAATCAGACGAAGACTCCAAGAGCTACAAGGGCCAATCAGAGACTCCATAGTTATTGAAGAGGAAAGGGGTCTGCTGCAGGAGCTTGACACAGCCTGGAAACTTGAAGAAGAGTTCTGGGTACAAAGGTTCAGAAACAGTTGGCTCCAAGAAGGAGACCAAAACACGAGCTTCTTTCATGCAAGTACCATCAAAAGAAGAAGCAGGAACCTCATTGTGAAACTTAAAAATGAGGCGGGGACTTGGATTAACAATGACCAGAACCTTGAAGGACATGTCAACGGTTTCTATACCAATCTTTTCAGAAGCAGATCGGAACCTTTTGACCATGCTACTCTAAATGGATTCCCCTTCCTGGTCTCCCATGAGGACAATATGGCCCTCAATGCTCACCTTGACAAAGATGAAATCCGAAAGGCAGTGTTCCAACTTGGAGCCAACAAAGCACCAGGTCCGGATGGCTTTCCAGGACATTTCTTCAGAAGGTACTGGAACCTGATTGGGGACTTGTTCTACGAGGAAATCATCGAGTTCTTCAACACCAATGTGATGCCACCCAACTGGAATAATACCTACATCACACTCATCCCCTAGGTTGAAGCCCCGGAGACGATTGGACAATTCAGGCCTATCAGCTGTTGTAACTTCAGGTACAAGTTAATCACCAAAGTTATGTCTAACAAATTACAACCTCTCTTACCGAAGCTGGTCAGTGAATTGCAAGCAGCATTCACAGGAGGGAGACAGATTCAAGACAACATTGTGATTGTTCATGAGGTGCTTAACTTTTTCAAGAAACATAAAACTGGGACGCAGAAAAATTTGATGATGAAGCTCGACATGCAAAAAGCATATGATCTGGTGGAATGGGACTTCCTTATTGAGTTACTTAGAGCTTATGGTTTCAATGAAACATGGTGTGGTTGGGTTAGAACTTGCATTTCATCGGTGAAGTTCAGAATACTCTTTAATGGGAACCCTACTGAGGAATTCACCCCATCTAGGGGCATCCGTCAAGGAGACCCTCTCTCCCCTCTCCTCTTCATCCTCATGAGCAACGCCCTTTCATTCCTTATTGAAAAAGCTCTCCAGAGAGGAGAACTAAGAGGTTTGAAGCTCAACAGAACATGCCCTATTCTCACACACTGTTTATTTGCTGACGACACCGTCATTTTTGGAGAAGCTTCAGTAGTGGAAGCAGGAAGAATTCTTAACATTACCAATGAGTATGGTTCAATAACTGGTCAAGAGGTCAATAAAGACAAATCCTCGATCTTTTTCAGTCACAATGTCACAAAGGAGGAAAAAGGAAGCATTATTCTCACAGCTGGATTCACAAATACAAACTGCCACTCCAAATACCTCGAAGTCCCAACAGAGTGGGGAAGATAAAAAAAAGAAACTTTCCAATTCCTCATCCGAAGAATGGAAAGCAAAGGGGAGTCATGGAAAAGCCTCCTCCTTTCTCCAGGAGGCAAAGAAACCCTCCTTAAAGCAGTTTTTCAAGTGATTCCATCTTTCATCATGTGCCTCTTCCTCCTGCCTCGATCTACTACTAACAAGATGGACTCCATGCTGAGGAACTTCTTCTGGGGAGGGAACATGACCAAAAAGACAATTCACTAGCGCGCTGGGCACGTTCTTTATGCTCCAAAAGAGGAAGGAGGGTTAGGCTTCAGGCCTTTCCACATTTTCAACATGGCCCTTCTTGCAAAACAAGCATGGAGGATCCTCACCAACCCCGATTCTTTGTGGGTAAAGGTACTAAAAAGCATCTATTTCCCTGGTCAGGACTTCCTAGCAGCAAAAAAGGGAAGCAAAGCTTCATGGATCTGGGCTAGTATCTGGGAGGCAAAAAATTGGATGCAGCAGGGAGTTGTCAAGGTCATTGGGAATGGGGTGACAACCAAAATGTTCCAGGACCCTTGGCGATTTGATCGACCAGGCCCCCTTCTGGCACATGGAGCTAATGACTCAGCTTCAACTGCATCATTCATTGATGTCATCTCTAGAGAATGGAAGTTCGACCTGCTGGAACAGTTTCTTAACCCACAAGAAATCCTCCTCACGGGTGCCACTCCAATCGGACTAGCGAACATGAATGACTTCTGGGCTTGGAGATTCTCCGAAATTGGCAGCTTCTCAGTTAAGTCAGCATTCCCCCTGTTCCACAACCAAACTAGAGGCACTCAAGGAACAGTGAGCCCTTTCCCTCAAACAGCCAAAGACAACTGGAAATGGCTATGGAGTTTATCTATGCCACCAAAGCTAAAGTTCTTTATCTGGAGATGTGCAAAGAATGCACTTGCATCCAAGGCAAACCTGTTTGCAAGAAAATGCTCTCCAACAGAAGCCTGTCCACTATGCAATTGCCAATCTGAATCGATTCATCACTGTCTCTTCATCTGTCCCCATGCAGCAGCAGGATGGAGTCGGGAATGGCCTGACCTACCTACACCACCACCGCTCACAAACATTCTGGATTGGCTGGTCTCCCTTCAATCAAGGTTCCCTATTGTTACCATTCAGCATATGATCTTTTTAATGTGGCAGACCTGGAAGACCAGGAACGACCGAATTTTCTCAGGGATTCTACCATGGCCCCCGATCACCACTCTCAGAGCCATGACTGCCCACCACCAATGGAACACTTGCCCGTAGAAGAGAAGAGATTCTCCCCTGCACACTCAGCACAATCCACCCCCTGAACTTTCCTCCCCACCGCCGAGTATTCATGAGTTTGAAATACACTGTGACGGTTCCTTTTTCAGCGAGTTACAGGAGGCGGCATATGGCGTCGTGGTAATGAACAGCCATGGACAGGTTTGTAATGGGAGAGCTGAGCCCCTGCATTGTTTTTCACCACTTGAAGCAGAAGCTATTGCCATTTGGGAGGGAACACGTTTGGCGGAAGAGCTGGCAACTCCCTGCCTGATTAGGACTGACTGCCTGACACTGGTTCAGGCCCTCTCAAACCCAAAAGAGGTTTGGCCATGGCGTGTTGCAGGCTGGATCAGTAGGATCAAGACTTTTCTTTTCAACCACCCGACCACCAGGTTCGACTTCATCAACAGAAGAAGAAATTGCAAGGCGAACTGGGTTGCGCGTGCATGTGCAAAAAGAAATCTACCGGTGGATTGGATCCAAGTTCTTGATGTAATTGGTCCATTCTTGTAACCATTTGGCTTCTGCCACAAGGAAATGAAAAATCTATGCCCTTTGTCGACAAAAAAAAAAAAAAAACTTCTGCCCCGTCGCGCAGCGCGGGCTTCCTTGCTAGTTTACCATTAAACTAGGAGCTGTGCCTATGCGGCCGGTTAATTTGACACTTACCCTGAGATTGAGCAACAGAATAGAGGTCCCCACTCCCCAGCCAGCATCCCACAATCGACAATCCCATCACGGCAGTCGGCAGATACGATACGCACTCTTCGGTCCTTCGCCTCTCATCTTTCCAGCGTATAGCTATTCCTTTCTCTACTTTCCCCACAGGATCGAAACTCCTGTTGCCGGCGTTGCACAAAACCTGCAATCCCTGCTGAAAGCTTCAACCCTTCCAGCTTCCCCCGACTCTCCTCCAATGGCCGCCACCTCTCTAACTGCTCCAAAGCTCACTTTCTCTCCTACCCTCCAGTCCCTCTACAGAAACCTCACCATTCCCATCCCTCTATCTTCTTCTTCTCCCTCTTTCCTCTCCCTCCGCAAAACCCTACCCTCCCACCACTCTCGCTCCTTCTCCCTCTTCCAACAACCCCGCCGTCAATTCACCGCTCGCGCCGACTCCGACAACGGCACCGAGTCGCCACGTCAGTACGATTTCGACCTCTTCACCATCGGCGCCGGGAGCGGCGGTGTGCGTGCCTCGCGCTTCGCCGCCAATTTCGGCGCCTCTGTTGCCATCTGCGAGCTTCCCTTTGCCACCATATCCTCTGACACCGCTGGGGGCGTCGGCGGCACGTAAGTAATCTCTTCTGCACAAAATGACATAAATTGAGGATAATAAATTATCATTTAGTTCCGTTAGGAATCTGCGGCGGGCGTCAGTTTGCCAGTGATTTAGTAAGGACTAGAGTTATTTTGTGAAAATTGTTGCCAATGTGATTCTGCGAGTTAAAAGTGTCATCTCCTAATTCAGGTGTGTTCTTCGCGGATGTGTGCCGAAGAAATTGCTGGTGTATGCGTCTAAATACGCCCACGAGTTCGACGAGAGCAATGGGTTTGGGTGGAAATATGAGAGTGAACCCAAGCATGATTGGAGCACTCTAATGGCTAACAAAAATGCAGAGCTGCAACGACTCACTGGTATCTACAAAAACATTCTTAAGAATGCTAATGTCTCACTGATTGAGGGCAGAGGAAAGGTAAGGTCATTCTATGGCTACTACTCATTGCCTTGAGTACTAGCATCTATTCTACATGATGGTTTAGAGTGGTTTTCATGTCGTTTTGATCATTTGTTGCTGTAGATTGTTGATCCGCACACAGTTAATGTGGACGGGAAGATCTATACAGCAAGGCACATATTGGTTTCGGTTGGGGGACGACCTTTCATTCCCGACATTCCGGGAAAGGAATATGCAATTGATTCAGATGCTGCACTTGACTTGCCATCTCAACCCAAGAAAATCGCAATCGTTGGTGGGGGATACATTGCATTGGAGTTTGCTGGCATCTTCAATAGTTTGAAAAGCGAGGTTCATGTATTTATCAGGCAGAAAAAAGTACTAAGAGGCTTTGATGAGGAGGTAGGGAACTGTTAGGCTCGGTGATTTGATTGGTTGAGTTCTCGCAACTTTGTTACACCTCTCACCAAATCTGTTTGATTCGTAGGTTAGAGATTTTGTTTCAGAGCAAATGTCTCTAAGAGGAATTGAGTTTCACACAGAAGAGTCACCACAAGCTATTGTTAAATCTGGAGACGGTTCACTATCGTTGAAGACAAACAAAGGAACAGTGGAAGGCTTCTCGCATATAATGTTTGCTACAGGCCGTAAGCCCAATACAAAGGTTTGTGTGCATACATATATTAAAAACTCTGTTTTGATATGTGTTTTCCGCTGCAGTCTCACAACAATGATGGACTTTTTCCTAACTTAGCTGTCCCTTGCATTTTCTGTTATCCCTGCCCGCCAGAAAGTTCAATTCTTTGTGCTTGTCTCATTCCTTCCCACTGGGGATTGGTAAAAATAGGGAGGTTTAGATTTTTTGGTGAGGAAAATGTCAAACCTTTGTATACTATCAATATTTGGGTGATGACAGATTATTCTACATTGCAGAATTTGGGGCTAGAAAACGTAGGGGTCAAGATTGCCAAGAATGGGGCAATTGAGGTATGACATCTTGTGCATTTTACTTCCAGCTACGGTCCTTCGCTATAGAAAATGTTTATCCAACTTTTGGTTTCTTATCTTCTATTTTTTTCTGTCGTGTCCCAGGTGGATGAATACTCTCGCACTGCTGTCCCGTCCATTTGGGCAGTTGGCGATGTTACAGATAGGATAAATTTGACTCCAGTTGCTTTAATGGAAGGGATGGCACTGGCAAAAACACTGTTCAAGGATGAACCTTCAAAACCTGATTACCGGTAGGCGGTAGCCCACCAGTTGGTTTGTCCAGCTCTTTGTACCCTAATGTTTGAATATGAACTGCTGCTTGTCATTATATTGCTATATAGGATGAGTGTCATATTTTTCTTTCATACTTGGACCTTATATGAATTGGGAACAGCTCATGTTGTATCTTTGTGATGTTGGGTATGGTTATTGCCGTTATGGGAACATATTAGAGCTGACTCATATTGTAATTCATAGCAGAAATGTAACTTGTTTTCTGTTTGGCTTTCTGAAGGGCTGTTCCCGCTGCTGTTTTCTGTCAGCCACCAATCGGAAATGTTGGTCTTACTGAAGAGCAGGTGATGAATACAACACTTGTTGCAATAATGAATGCTATACACCATATCCTGTTCCCTTATCATATTCTCTTAGTAGTCTTTATTCATAAGTTCAATGTACATAAGCTATGTATTAGGGGAGTTAATTGGGATGGTTTTCTTGACTGTGAGAGAGCTATTGTAGGCCATCAATGAGTACGGTGATGTCGACATCTACACATCAAATTTTAGGCCTTTAAAGGCTACTCTGTCAGGACTTCCAGATCGGGTCTTCATGAAATTATTAGTCTGTGCTAAGTCGGAGAAAGTTATTGGCCTGCACATGTGTGGAGAAGATGCACCTGAAATTGTTCAGGTTTGTACTCTGGTCCTGACTACCCTTTCCTTTCCCTTCCCAATCATATATCAGTTTCATTAGTTCTGTTTGTTTCTCAAATTTGCAGGGATTTGCAGTTGCTATAAAAGCAGGGTTAACCAAAGCAGACTTTGATGCGACAGTTGGTATTCATCCAACAGCTGCTGAGGAGTTTGTCACCATGAGGACCCCAACCCGGAAGATTCGAGGCAACCCCAAGTCTGAGGTCTGTTCTTAGACTGTTTGTTTTGGTCTTGACTATTTGTTTAGGTATTGTTATGCCTAAACGTATTTAGTTCAACTTGTTGAAGCGTTACTATGTTTGATGGTTGATAAATTAAATAAACTAGCATTAATTTGTTATTTCCTCTCCTAGGTTCCAGAATCATGCATTCTTCTGTTGCTTGTTCTTGCTTCACTTTTCAATTGGCAGATTGCTTATTTATTTCTTAGTCATGACTTGGGAGGCTTCTTGTTTGCTATTCACGTACTCCACCAATCCAGTAATTATCAAAATTTCTTTTGGTTATTTTCAGGAGACGAAAGATCAAGAAACTAAAGCTGCGGCTGGAGTTTAGACTTGAATATTGTGGCTGGCATAGTTAGCATGACATCTTCCTCATGGTCCAAACAGAAGCTCTTGATTTCTGTACAGTACGATTACTAGTTCATTACTCCTACTTTCTGTTAATGTGTAAGCGGGATTTCGTCACACTGCACACAACAATGATGAGCCTTAAAAGCTTGCTTTCTGTTGAACCTGGTTCTGTTACTCTTATCGTTGGTTATAGGTTTCTTCTCTAGTCTGGCTGATCGCAAAGACACATAGAATAAGGCCTTCCTTTGTGTTTCCCGTTTGGATGCCATTTCCTGCAAATTGGTTCATCGTGTGTCCGAGAAGCAGGAAGTCTCACTATCTCTTTGACATGATCGGCTTGCTGAGGTATAGTTGTTAATGCTCTACTAGAAGTTGATGCTCGGCTCATAAACATTGATTACGTTGCAGGGGTCACTGAAATGGCACTTCTGCAAATGCATGAAAAAGGAGAGTTTTTAAGCCGAGATTCAGCCGAGTTGGAAGTGTGTTAAGTCGTCTGTTTACGTCTTCTTGTGCATCGGGAGTCGGCTTCATTTTTTGTTAGTATGGTGCTAGTACTAGTTTCAATCGGTGGGAATATTTTGTTTCGATGATTTATTTATTCAAAGAATTGGCAATAACTAATACTGATTTTGTAAGGAAGCGGTGTTCTTATCATTCTTAAAAATTAAGGGATCACGCGCGTATGAAATTGGTTATTTATCTCTCCCCGTGTCTCACTTGAAGTAGCATCTGCATTGAAACCTAACTCGCCATAGAAAATTAGGAACAACTATCCGACCATCAAAGGTTGCATCCATTGAGACAAGGCATAGAAGAAATGACGAAGGTTTAGTGCAAGACTGGAGTAAGGAGTCGTAGACAAAGGATTTGTGGCTGACTGTCAATTTTAGATTTGGAGAAATTTAGGGCTAGGGAATCAAAATAGAAAGGAAAGTTCTACAAAAAAAAAAAAAAAAAAATAGAAAGGAAAGTTTTGGAATTTCTATGGCGATGTGTAGATGGATCGTCTCATCCTAGCTGATGTGGTGGTAAAAAGAAGAAAGGCAGACGATGAGAATGGTGAAGCAGGTATAGAAGTGAGGGCCAAAATGAAGTAGGAGCAAATAGAAGGGCCAAAATGTAATAGAATAGAAGTGAGGGAGTTATGGGATAATTTGCCAATATGGTCGCATACAAACTTGGGACCACGTGTAAATGGACATCACCGGTTATAGCAAAATTCTCTCTCTCTCTCAATTTACTCTTTCTTCCCTGCAATTCCCAATGGCTCACTACAACTCTTGCTGGAGCTCCCTGAAATTGCCATTTGCAGCTAGTCGACGATCTCAACTCGCAGTTCTCCACTAAAGCTGTGACAATATGGTATCAGAGCATTCGCCTGACCAGATAACGATGACAAGAATGGAGGAGAAGCTTGCTACATTCACCAATCGCACCATCGCTGTCGAAAATAAATTCCAGTGCATTAGCAACCACTTGACAACCATGACAAGCAGATGAGGCGAACACCGAACATTTTCGTGTTAAATGAGCATTAGGTCCATGATCTTTCAACGAATTCTTACGGTCATTCCTTACAGTTGGCTATTCTGAATACGAGACTTGATGGCTTAGACAGACGCTTTGTAAGAGCACTGTTGAAGATCACAGCTGCAAATCCCTACAATCAATACATGATCTTCCAAAGATCATAATCTTCCAGAGATCAACTCAACACCATTATTGGAGACACACACCAGCCACATTTATTACTCATGTCTTGTACTGTACATTATCACGTTTGTAAGCTGTATAAATGAAGACTCATTGTAATGAAATGAACTAAGAAGCAGAGAAACAATCTTGCATTCTTCAAACACTTCCACCATAGTCTTTTCATGGTATCAGAGCAGAGATCCTCACGACTCTGACTCAAAACAACAACACACAAAAAAAAATCAGTATAGCAATCGAAACTTACCTTGCAGGAAGTCATGACCGACAAAACTCAAGGATCAAAATCGGTTGCCACCATACCCAACTCCAGCGGTGGAATGGACGTGATGTCTCCTTATCATCTACCGCAGTCAGACAGTCCAGGCCAAGTTTATGTTCAGGACCTCCTCACCGACGCCAATTACAGTGAGTGGGCGACTGACATGGCGGAAGGATTGTTTGCCAAAAATAAATACAGCTTTGTTGATGGAACTCTGCCGCGACCTGAAGAAGAGTCTGCCGATCTGCAGAGTTGGCTTCGCTGTGATGCCATGGTTAAGGGATGGCTTAAGAGCGCCATGACCAAAGAAGTGCGTAGCAGTGTTCGTTATGCAGCCACCACAAGAGAGATCTGGAGTGATTTGAAAGAAAGATTTGGAAAAGGAAGCTCACCTCGAGCGTATGAGCTGCGAAGAACAATCAGCCTCTTGCGACAAGGATCCATGGGAGTTTCTGCCTATTTCACAAAGCTTCGGACCCTATGGGATGAGCTTCAGTCGATCTCTCCTCCACCCCGGTGCAGTTGCGGCTATTGCGTATGCGATATACAAAAGCAATTGCGAACTTCACGAGAGAAGGAACAAATCTACGATTTCCTTATGGGGTTGAACGACGAATTTGGTGCGGTGAAAACGCACATCTTGAGCCTCCAGCCAACACCCAGCCTGGTCACCACCTTCCATCTTGTCCTTGAGGATGAACAAACCCGAGGAATCTCCACCACCGCAGCACAAAACACAACGGCAGAAGGGGCAGCTTTCCAGGCGAAGCAATCCCCAGAGTCGAGAGGAGAACGAGAGCAACGGGGGCGAGAGAGACCCAGATGTACCTTCTGTCAGAGAAATGGCCACACAAAGGAGCAGTGCTTCGAGATCCTTGGCTGGCCGGAAGGGTGGAAGAAGCGCAATGGTGGGTCTCTTGGCGGCGGTCGACGGGAAAGGAACGTGAATGGAAATGGAGACAAAAGGAGGCCTCCTCCTCGTGCGGCACAAGTGAGTGACGAGGCCAACAAGGGGGCTCAAGCCACACCAACGGGCTTAGGGTTGACACCAGCCCAACTTTCTAAATTAATGGAATTTTTGGGCCAAGGTGAGACTTCAGGGAGCCCAACAGTTCACCAGGCTAATTTTACTGGTAAGCCAAGTAACGAATGGGTCTTGGACTCTGCCAGCACAGATCATATCACTTTCAGTCCAGACGTGTTGGAGTCAAAACAAGCGCACCATAAAACAGCCTGCGTCAGCATTCCTAATGGAGCGAAAATCCCTATAAAAAATACCGGGACACTAAAATTGACCGATGAAATCAAGCTTGATGGAGTGTTTGAAATTCCTGAATTTCAATGCAACTTAATATCCGTCAGCCGCCTTACCAAAGATCAAAATTGTGTAGTGACAATTTTCTCTGATTTTTGTGTGATACAGGAATTACCAACGAGGAAGCTGATTGGGACGGGTAGGCTCCAAGATGGATTATATGTCTGGGATGATGTGTCAAAGAAGAAGTTGGCCATGACTGTGCAACATGAAGACACATCAGATATATGGCATCAACGGTTGGGACACACATCTCCAGTAAAACATCAGCAACTGAAGACATCAACAAAATTGGTTTCATTTCACAAGCCTGGTCATTGTGATGCATGTGTTAGAGCTAAGCAAACTCGTTTGCCCTTCCCCACTAGCACTATTCGCACACGTGGTTGTTTTGAATTAATACATTGTGATATTTGGGGTGACTATAAGACGCCCTCCCTATCAGGAGCACATTACTTTCTTACTATTGTTGATGATTATAGTCGAGGACTATGGATCTATCTGATGAAGCATAAGTCGGAGGTTGGCAGCTTGCTCCCTCGTTTCTGTAACATGGTTGAAACGCAGTTTGGCACATCAGTCAAACGTATCCGAGCAGACAATGGATCAGAATTCCGCTCTCGATCAATGCAGGATTATTATTCATCCAAGGGAATATTGTTGGAGACTTCTTGTACGGACACACCACAACAAAATGGGGTTGTTGAGAGAAAACACAGACACATCCTCGAAACTGCACGAGCCCTTCGGTTTCATGCCAACCTCCCCATCCGATTTTGGGGAGAATGTGTTCTCACAGCAGCTTATATCATCAATCGGTTGCCATCAAAGGCAATCAACAACCGTACCCCGTATGAAGTCTTACTTGGGAAGCCACCAAATTACTCTCACCTACGCGTGTTTGGTTGTCTAGTGTACACTCACGAAAATAAAAGAGTCAAGGACAAATTCGAGGAAAGGGGGAGAGCTGGTATTTTTGTTGGCTACCCACAAGGGCAAAAGGGTTACAAGGTTTTCGACATGGCGACTCAGAGGGTCATAGTCTCTCGAGATATCAAGTTCTTGGAGAGCTCATTTCCCCATAAAGATCCCAATAAACTCTCAAACTTCGAATCTCAAGTCTCAAGCTCGGTTCCAACCTCACATCCACCTCTTGTTACCTTTGAAGAAGATATTGACCCTAGCATGTTTCCATATGTGCCCGCCAATGAAGACCAAGAAACCCCATTGGCTGTAGAGGAGACCATAGACCCAAGCATTCGACCAACGGCTCCCACTACTCAGCTTCGATGTAGCATCCGAGAACGAAGACCTTCCTAAACTCTCAAAGGATTTGACACATCACTCCCAACATCTCTCACCATCACGGAACCTGCCCCACCATCAGCTTCCCCTCAGGTATATCCATTAGCAAACCATGTGTCATATGATCGGTTTTCAGTGTCTCACAAAGCTTTTTTGTCTGCCATAACCCTTACAAAAGAGCCTAAAAGTTATCGTGAAGCCGCGATTGATCCTCGATGGCAAAAGGCAATGAAACAGGAGATTGAAGCATTAGTGGTTAATCAAACTTGGGAATTGACGACCTTACCACCGGGGAAGAAGGCCATTGATTGCAAATGGGTCTACAAGGTCAAATTCAAACCCTCTGGAGACGTCGAACGCTTCAAGGCAAGGTTGGTTGCCAAAGGTTTCACCCAAATTCCAGGGGTAGATTATCATGACACATTTGCTCCTGTTGCCAAAATGGTCACTGTTCGTAGTTTGGTTGCTGTTGCTGCTTTACGGAATTGGCCACTGCACCAACTCGATGTCAATAACGCTTTCCTTCATGGTGATCTGGATGAGGAGGTGTACATGAAGATGCCTGAAGGGTTTGGTCAACCAAATGACACGAGAGTCTGCCGATTGAAGAGATCCTTATATGGTTTGAAACAAGCATCCCGCAATTGGCATGCCAAATTCACGTCATCTCTCCTCCAGCTGGGATTCAAGCAATCCAAGTCTGACTACTCCCTTTTTATCGCACACAAAGGTTCCACTTTTGTCGCCGCTCTCATTTACGTTGATGATGTTGTCTTGACCGGAAATAATGATCAATTCATCAGCCTGGTGAAGCAACGCCTCGATAATGACTTCAGCATCAAGGATTTAGGACCTCTCAAATTCTTCCTTGGAATCGAAGTCGCACGCTCGCCAAATGGAATTGTCCTTAGTCAACGCAAATATGCCATCGGTATTTTGGAGGATAGTGG